AAACCAACTGGGCAAACTCCAAATTCTGCATTTCCATGACTGTGTCAAAATTCTCTTTAGATCTTCAACTCCTTTCAGCTTTGTTGACTGCAAAACACTTCTTTGTCTTGGGCTGGTTCCACTTCCTGCTAGCAGCTTTTCTTGGCAGGTATCCCATGACTCTGGCATCTCTAACATGTAGATATCTCCTAGGTAATCCAGGCTTCTCCTTCACAGCTTCACACAGTGGCCTTTTGGGGCCTTCATTTGGGCCTGACACGTGCTTGACCTCAGCAGCTTTCCATAGATGCAGAGGAATATTCCATAACCCCCATATTCTTCACCAAAATGCCATAAAAATGATCTCTAGGCAATATTATATTCTTCTCCTTTGAAATTTCTTGAGCTAGGCCCCACAGTACTGAAACCAGAACCATGTGGCTGAAACTGTAAAAGTCTGCTGCTTATTAGGACTGGAACATTGCCCCCTTGTTCAATTACATCTTCACTAGATTTCTGTTTTTTGATAGCTACCTTCACTGCCTAAGCTTGGTTGTTCTGGAATTTTCTCTGTAGACCAGGCTAGCCTCAAACTCATGGTTCTGTCATACTCTACCTTCTAAATGCTGAGATTAAAGGCATGTACTACCACACTCAGCTCTAACCTTTTCTTTAATTCTTTGCTCAACTTTCTCCTTTTCATTATAAACCTGTATAAGATTAATAACCATACAACAGAGTCAATACTAGGCTGTTTTGATATTTCCTCTGGCAATGGAATTAATCTAAAACTTTAACCTCAGATACTGGCTATTTGAGACCTCAAAGTCTGCCTCCACAGTGACACACTTCCCCCAACAAAACCATGCCTACTCCAACAAAGCCACACCTCCCAATAACACCATTCCCTATGAGCTTATAGGGGCCAATTACATTCAAACTACAACAGGAAGTTTTCGCCAAATAAATCCTTCTCTCCCCAATTTGCTTTTGGTCATGGTTTTTCATCACAGTAATAATAACCCTACCTCAAAAAGAAGCTGGTACCAGGGAGTTGGGTATTTTTGTAACAGTCCTGGCCGTGATGTTATAGGAATATGGAAGGCTTTGGGACTCTGGAATTGAAAAGCAGTTGAAAACTTGAAGTGGGAGTTATGGAATCATCCTACTGGTAACATGGATGACCAAGCTGAGAACAATATAGATGATGACGACCTGGCTCAAGAGGTTTCAGAGGGGAAGAATATTAGCAAATGGCCTAGAGACTGTTCTTGCGACATTTTGAAGAAGAACATGGCTACTTTCTGCCCTTGTCCAAAGAAAAATCTGCCCAAGTCTAAACTGAAAAGTTTGAATTAATGGCATTGGAAGAGGAAATTTCAAGACTGCCCAATATTGACTATGTTTTGTGGTTATTAGTGGTCACTCTTATGAAGATCCATAATGAAAAGGGACACACAGAACAAAAAGAAAAATAAAATGTACAGTTTGAGGAAAAAGGGAGAACCAGAAAGTATAATGAAGTTAGCTAAGTCCAGTGCTCAGGGGAATAGAAAGTTTAAAACAATTCCTGATGATAAATGCAATAAAGAGAGTGATGACCTCAGGATATGACCCCATCCAGCTAAGCTTCCAACATATGAAAAGGAATTAAATGCTTAAATACTGAATGAAACCATCAACAACAGAAAGCTTATGCAAGTGTAATTGAAGGAGGGGGCCAAATTCAAGCAAAAGAACTTGTTGTCTTCCACCATGTGGTTCTGGCTTTAGAGTCAAGGATACAAGACAGGAGTTGTAGAATCTCCCTCCATGGCTAAGGAAATCCATGGAGACCAGATACTTGTCAAGGATATTCCTTCATGGAGACCTAGAAAGGCCATTGCATTGAAGCTGTGAAGGGGAAACCTAGATTATGTTGCAGATGCCAAGTTGTTAGAGACATGGGATACCTGACAAGGAGAGCTGCAGACTGAATGTAGAACCAGCCCAAGAGAAAGAAGTGTGCTGTGTGGTCAGTTAACAAAGCCAAAGGAGTTGGAGATTTGAAGAGCAGTCTGACATCAGGCATAGAGATGCAGAATTTGGAGTTGGCCTTGTTGGTTTTGGTCTTGCTTTAGTTCACTATTCCTCATTGTTACTTTCCCATCCTTTGGTAATGTATATTCTGTGTCATTGTGTGTTGAAAGTATACAATCTGCTTTTTTATTTTGATTTTGCAGAGGGTTACAGTGAAGATATTGCCTTTAGTCTCAGAAGAGTCTTTGAACTTTGGACTTTTAAACAATGTTGTGACTGTTATAGACCATGGGGGACTTTTGAAGTTGAACTGAATACATTTTTACATTATGACGTGGGGATACAAGCCTATGGGGCCCAAGGAGTGGAATGTTGTGGTTTGAATGAAATGGTCCCCAAACATTCATAAACTTGAATGCTTTGTCACCAGGGAATGGCACTATTTGAAAGGATTAAGAGGTGTGACCTTGTTGGAGGAAGTATTTCACTAGGAGTGGGCTTTGACTCCAGAGTCTTTCTCTGCCTACAGATAAGACTCAAGTTCCCAACTACTGCTCCAGCATGGGCCTGCATGCCACTATGCTTCCTGCCATGATGATAATGAACTAAACCTCTGAAACTGCAAGCAAGCCCCCTATCAAGTGCTTTCTTTTATAATAGCTGCCTTAATCATGTTATCTCAGCAATAGAACATGACTAAGACAATGTGTATATATGTATATGAGACAATAGTAATTGAAGAAAAAGAGGTCATGAAGTTAAAAAGACAGAGTAGGGAGGACATGGGGCCAGTTAGAGCAGGAAAAGGGAGGAGTAGAGATGATATAAATGTAGTATTCATGCATGACATTCTCAAAAAATTAAAAATTTAAATAAGAAAAGATAGAGAGATAAATGTGAACAGAATGTATTACACACATATGTGAAATTGTCAAAGAATAAATTAATTTTTAAAAGTTAAGGTGAGGTGGCTGAGTGGAATCAGCATTAAAGACAAACTCCTGCAGAAAGCTATACATTTTTAATAAGAAACAGTGCATTAAAGAGAGAACTGAACCTATTTCCTGACTTCTTACTTCAATCAGAACTTTAAAAAATAATTTATGCCATGCATATGCTTCTCTAGGCCATGGTGTTCTGGTTATCAGATGGCTCAGAGTCCCTTTGAAGACTCTAAAAACAGCTATGAAAAATTGAGTAAGATTTTCTAATTTTTGTTGAACTTCAGTTTTAAAACTAAACCTTTTAAAAGTTTAACTCTTCCTATGACAAAATACTGCTAATTAGTTATACTAATATAACTGCATATTTGATTTAGCACAGGTGTTCACATATAGAAAACAGAATAACAATGTTAGAATAAACAATAACTCAATGTAGCAGCAGTAATAGAGTTGCTCACACTTGAGTGATGACTGAGGTTTAAGTTTGTCACCATTAGCTTTGTGACTTGATACAATCTAGAATCACCTGAGTAAAGGGTCTCAATGAAGGATCATATACATTTGATTGGTCTTTAAGTATGTCTATGAGGGATTATCTTAATTAAATTAATTGATGTGGGAAATCCAGCCCACTGTGGGTGGCATCATTCCCTAGACAGGGAACCCTATACTATATGAGTGTAGAAATCAAGCAGAGTACAAGCAAGAAAGAAGCGAGTGTGTATGCATTCATTTTTCTCTGCTCTTCTTTGTGGATGTGATGGATTATCTATTTGAAGTTCCAGTCTTGACTTCTCTATAATGATGACTGTCCCCTGGTACTGTTCGCTGAAATAAAACTCTCTGTCCCTAAAATTGCTTTTTCTCAGAGTATTTTATAACAGCAAAAGAAATAAAACAAGGACAGAAATGGATACTGTGAAGGGGGAGAAGGTTACTGTGATAGATCTGACCATGTGTTGGAGTGTTTAAAGACTATGGTCCTGGGGCTTTTTAAGTTGAATTGTATTTTATATTGTTTAAAAGGTAAGACACTGGGGCAAGGAGTTTAAGGTTGTGATTTAAAAGTGGAGTGTTTGGGGTCGGAGAGTGAGGTTAGCAGTTAGGAGTATACTGCTGGGGGCTGGAGAGATGGCTCAGAGGTTAAGAGCACTGGCTGCTCTTCCAGATGTCCTAGAGTTCAATTCCCATCAACCACATAATGGCTCACAACCAAATATAATGAATTCTGGTGGACAGACATACATGCAGGCAGAACACTGTATACATTAATAAAAAAAACCCTTTATATAAAAAAGAAAGGAGTGTGTACTGCTTGTCTGATTTACTTTTCTATTGCTGTGATAGTACACCATGACCAAGGCAACATATGGAATAAAATCTATAATTGCGGATTACAGTTTCAGAGGGTTAGAGTTCATGAGCAAGAACAGCTGAGAGCTGACACCTTGATCCACAAAAGGAGGCAAGAGAGAGAAATACAGAAAGAAATAACAGAGAATGGTATGGGCTTTTGAAAACACAAAGCTTGCCCCAAGTGAAACATCTCCTTGAAGAAGGCAACACCCCCTAATCCTTTCCAAACAGTTCTACCAACTGGGGGCCAAGTATTTCAACATATGCACTTATGGAGGCCATTCTTATGTAAAGCTCTTGCAGAGGGTACTAGTTTGATTCCCAGTGCCCATGTCCTACAGCTCATAATCATCTATAACTCCAGCTCCAGGGAGACTCAATGTCTCTGGTCTCTATGGACACCTATTTACAAATATTCTTACACACACACACACACACACACACACACACACACACACAGAGTAAATCTTTAAAAAAACATTGTGTTGACACAACCTAGAGTTACCTAGGAAGATGATGAAATTGAGAACTTACCTAGATTATTTAGAGTTTATTGGCCCATCTATGAGAGATTGTCTTGAGTACCTTAATTAATGTGGAAAGACACAGCCTGAAAGAATACGGTAAGACCCATGGTGGCACCATTCCTGACTTGAGGGACCTGGACAGTGTAATACCAGAGAAAAACAGCTGAGCACTTAGTACACATGGACTCATTTATTTACCATATTCTTAGCAATAGATATGATATGACCAACTGCTTCAAGATCCCACCACTCTACTTCCCCGAGATGAAGGATTGTAACCTGGAATTGCTTTTGGTCAGTATATTATCTCAGAAACAGAATGGAACCAGGACACCAATCCTGTGTCTTTAGCCGTCCCCACTTAACTCTTTCATGAGTAGACAAGGCTAGAGTTTCATGTTCATCTCCAAAACAAAGTACAGACGGGGTATTCTCTGGGCCTTCCAAGAAGCAGATAAACTTAGATGTACAAGAAAGATATTGACAAGAAATACTTTAAAATAGAATATATCAGGTAACCTTTAGGCCAGGACTCCTGTGAAAGGAAAACAGGAGAGCAGAAGAATTGTAAGAACCTCAAATCACAGCACAGCTCTGAGGAAAACTGGACAAGCTTCTGGGAAGTTTCCCCATCCAACGTCACATGTTAGAAGAGCCTGCATCTCACAGGAATGAATGGGCCATTGGCTGCCGCAGCACAGAGTATGAACACAGGGATGATCCAGAGAGTTAGCAACAGGACTGTCAGGTGTTTACACTCCTTGAGATAGGAAATCAGAATGGGATGATGATGGCCTTAGAGAGTGGTGTCGGAGACCTGGGGTTAAAATTCCAGCTTTAACATTTAGTAATAAAACTTCTGTGACTATTAAATTCTTCACATGTAAGCTGGGCATAGTGGTACATGCCTTTAATCCCAGCACTTGGGAGGCAAGGACAGGGAGATCACTGAGTTTGAGGCTAGTCTGGTCTACGGAATGAGTTTCAGGAAAGACAGCCAGGGCTACAAAGAGAAACCCAGTCTTGAAAAACAATCCTTCTATGGAATAGAATCCACCTCAACAAATTATCAGGAGACTAATATGACCCTGCTGTAGACTCAACATTTTGTCTGGGGTTAGAAAACAAGTCAATAGTGCTGAATATTTTTTATGACGTGTGCTTAAATAGGTTCAGACAGGAGTCTCAGCCTTTGGGGATTTGGACAGTTGGATGTGATGCTGAAAGGTAGGGAAAGGCCTCCATCACACGTGCCTCCATCATGTGGACCCTCATCACATACGCTGCCCCCTTCCCTGTAGCTCTTCTCAGGATCTTTCGCACATGACCATTTCTTCTGCTTCTTAGAATGCAGATGAACTTCACTTACAGCTGCTTAACAACAGCTGGGGACAGGGAAGAGAACAATGGTCTCTTGTCCCCACCAGATGCTTGAGGCCAATTCCCCCATTTAGAAGGTTTCTCTGCAGAGTTTGGTGTGTTTATTCATTCTGTTTGGATCCTATAAGCAGTAATTCTGTAAACACAAATGATCTCCAGGGTCAGTCAAGCAAAACAGAATATTGAAAAGATCCTGTAACAAAGCACCTCACACTGTGACCCACAAAGTATATGTGGCATTACAGTCCTGATACTGTGACTCTTCTTCAGAGTTTTAGATGACGTGAATGATGAGTAACTTCAGAGCACATTTTTTATGACCAAAATTAAACTAGGGTTTGATTCGCTTTGAGCAGCCTGAATTCATTGGATTGCCTATTGTGATCACAGAATTCCTTCTCTATGTTCCTCGGTATGATGAGAGTATTTATTGCTCTATTTTTTGTCTGTGTATGTGTGTACATGTTTGTGCACACACATATATATGTAAATGTGGGTTTACATGTGTATAATGTCCACAGTCAAGATCATCTTCAATTTCTCTTAGCTCTGTTTTGTGAGGCAGTGTCATTGAAGATGGAGTTTGCTGATTCAGCTACACTGGCAGGCAGCATGCCCTAGGAAACCTTGTTCATCTCCTTCCTGGTGCTGAGGTCAAAGGCACTCACCATGCCTGGAATTTCAGGCGGGTTAAGGGGATCCAAATTCAGCTCTTCATGGTTACGAAGCAAACCCTTTACCAACCCATCTCCCAAGCCCAGTGATAAAGATTAGTTCTTGTTTTACACAAACTTTCCTGAAAATTCAAGGAAAGACAAAAAGCATGTGCTAATGAGACAGTCATTCTGTCCCAAGCCTAAAGACAGTGATGCTTTTGAGGGATGCCATCCATCTGCTGCATGAATTTGTGACATTAGTTGACTCAAGTTTAGAAACTTGTCTTTCCTTGGTCATGCCACAGAGATGACAAACTGAGTAGAAGAGACTGTTAACCATATATGTAGTATCTTTACAACTCAGGAAGCACGCGAAGAGGCTGTGTGGGCATCTCCCTGAAGGGATCCTGCTTTAGCAGCCCAGACAGGCTGCAGAAAAGACATGTAGGTCTCCAACTCAGGGCATGTTTGACTTAGCTGGGCTTGCCCTAGTTACTAGGAGGTCAGATACCCTCCTTGTGGCAAGGAACCAATCACAAGTTGGCTGGCAGGACTCCAAATGTGCTTTAAGGCTCTGGGTGTGCTTTACAGTAAAAGTAGCACAATAATGATGTGCGGAGCATAGCAAACCGCCCTGCGAGGGCCTATAGGCCATAGCAACCAGTTGACCAATCAACACAGGGCAAGCCACCCAAGCCCGGGAGCGCACCAGCCCTGAGACTGTTGCATATCCCTAGACACTCCCCTTATGCTTCCCAATAAGGTCCTCACCTGTTGGTTTCTCCCAGTCCTTCTCCAGCTATTCACTGCAATGAATAGACAAGGGCAAGAGTTAATGCAGTTAGCTCGTTAAACAACAATAAAAGACTCTCTGTTTTTGCATCAGAACGGGTTTGAGGGGTTCTGAGTCTGGGCACAACACTCCCATGTATACATCTGCAAGAAAAGGTTCTGTACCTGTAATGAGAGGCCTTTTCTTTGAGAGGATGCCTTCCCGCCAGCCTGGTTCTAGAGTCACATCAGTCCCAAATAAACACACAGGAGGCTGTATTAATTATGAAGCTGTTGGCCTTTGCTTGTTTCTTACTGGCTAGCTCTGACTTAAGTAATTACCCCATAATTGTTAATCTAAGTATTTCTCTTACTGGAGAATAGTTCCGGGCTTCCTACCCCATGGCGTTACATGTCAAACTGTCCTGTGTTTCTCCTTTCCAGAATCCTCCTGGACTCCTAGTCCCTCATATCTAGATTTCCTATTGGCCAGACAGTGCTTTATTGACAAATGCACAGGACTTCCCCAACATGTACCCATAGGCACACTGGTATAAAATGTTTGGGTAGGGGACCAGACTTGGAAATAGGGAATACTCTTGAGGAAAGAGTTGTTTGTCTGTATAGCCTCCAAACTGAGAATATTAGTGGTGTTCTTATGCTGTCCTTTGCAAGATTTACATTCTGCCACTATCTGAGAAGCACCATCAAAGGAAGAGGCAGTGAGGAACTAACATACATTGAACGTAGCATGCCAGTCATTAATCCTTATTGCATACCCAGGAAGGGGCTATTATTCCTGTGTACAGATAAGAAAGCTAAAGTTTGGACAATAAAAGTATACATTCTGAGACATTACACCATGCTCCAGTGCACATTCTATCACACAATGCAGATTGGTAAAGTTCTGAGCATTCCTGTGAGGATACAGTAGCCTTGATTGGTAAGTCGCCTTTTGATTTGCTTGACTACAGGAAACCTACCTAGGAAAAATGTCTCCAGAAGTAATCTTCAGATTTCCTTGAACGGCCTGGTTACTTTGTGATTGCCTTGACATTCCTCTTCAAATTATCCTGAGCGGTGAGATACTTAATTGTGGTTGAAGGTTCCAGTCACTTTATTTTATGAAGGAAGAGTATGATGCCATTAGATCATGGGTTACCTGTGATGAAAAGAGAGAAGGCCTTGAAGAAAGAAATGACACCATCAGCAAATATGGAAGTCCACTTCAGAATGGTACTTGAGGCTGACCATGTGATCCTTTCTGTTTCTTAGGAAGAGTAAGTTTTAAATCTCATAGTGTGGACACCTACCAGGTGGCACTGTTGTATGAAGGAATAAATGTGAGAATGCTTTGCACTGTGAATAGCCAGGGAAATGGTGTGTTTATTTTAACTTATAAATGAACTAATTTCATAATATTATTTTGTGTCTAAATACACTTCTTATTATACCAAGTTCCATTCTTTTGAGCATGTATCTAATATAATTGGGGAGGAATAGACCAAAAAGACACATGAATATAGACCAATGACCTCTTCTCGTAAACAACTTAAATTTTTCAAAACTGAAATAAAGTTTTCTTTTATATTGTTAAAGCAAAATTAATGTATGCACTAATTTTATTTTAAAATAACTAAGATCTATACTATACTTTACCAGCAGAGGGGAGTAAGGGAACATACAATAACTCTTGGTTTCAGGTATTTTGGTACATGAATAGGCAACAAAGTTCCCAATTCTATGCTTTTTAAATTAGCCAATGGATCCATGGGAGTGCACTAAATTTAATTAATAATTCTTCTTGTGATGGACAAGCAAAAAGCCATGTGGGTTAAGAAAAAAACTGACATGCATCAGAAGCTCTGGGAGTAGAGAAGCATGAATACCCATGGGGACTTTTTGAGACAGGGTCGCACTAAGTAGTCCAGAGATGATGAATTTATAATCCTCCGTCTCATCTCATCCTTTTGAGTGCTTAGTTTACAGGGGTCTTTTACCAGCCTAGCTCTTTATGTCCATGTTTACGGTTGTGGCTCTAATATTCTTTTTTTCCCTTTAAATTAGAAACAAGCTTGCTTGACATGTCAATCCTAGCTCCCTCACCCTCCCCTTCTTCCCTACCCCCAACCTCTCACCCCATCCCCCCTTAACTCCCCAGGAAGGGTGAGGCCCTCCATGGGGAATCTTCAAAGTCTGTCATATCATCCCAGGCAGGGCCTAGACCCTCCCCGTGGCTCTAATATTCTATAACAAAATGTGTCTGATTTTCTCTGGCAATAAAGAATGATGAGGTTTCTACATGGCATTATTCTAATGACTCCTAAGGGTTTCCTGAGTTTTCTTCTAGAATGGGCATAGGACTATTTTTTTCCCCATGTTCCAAACGACTTAATACATTCTCTTTAAGAAAATAAGTACATATTGTGTATTATGGTACATTTTGTTCTATTACGAAGACCACCAAACTTCTAGAAGGGAAAGACAAGAAAGGAAACTATGGAGTTGCATTTGAAGGCAGTTACTCCCTGCCAGTTTGCTGTGACAGATTTTGCTGGAGAGTGATGTGGTTGCCCTGCCATCAGTGCACCCAGATTCTTATTTGACTATGAATCCGATTAACAATACCTAGCAGAATTCTTCTTTTGCTTTTGGTTCACTTAAACTAAAGGTGATTTTTACAAAAGATTTGATCGCATTCACATGACAAGAAAGGAATAGCTATAGCTATATAGGTATCTTTTTTTTTTTGTCAATTTCACACATCTGAAAAGTGTTAATTAATCCCAAAGATGTAAGAAGACCACTGACCCAAATCATCATGGCCAAATTAATTAAAGCAAGCTTTTTAAATGTGTGTACATATGTTGTTTCTCCCTGAAAGTGGGGTTCTAGAGATCACCATTAAGTGTGAGGAATACAAGGTTTTTATAACTCAGGGTTAGGGGGCTTCCAAATGGGGGATTTGGTAGGCAAAATAGGTGTGGTTACAGAAGCAGAACATACCAAAGTATCATAATAAGGTAGTTATTACAACATTTTGAAACAGGTAGGGTTGCAAGATGGTCATTAACAACTTTTTGAAACAAAGACGAGGTTACCATTTCCTGGAACAGGCAGTACAGAAACATTTGTAGTTAAGGTTATCTGTGGGACACAGATACACATTTGTCCTTGAGATACACATTTAATCATGAACAGGAATGACCCTAGTTTATCTTTACTATAAGATGGTTTTCAAGCCTAAGATGGAGGCAGGTTTGTTCATCACAAGAAGGAACCCCAACAGAACAACTGCATCCATCAGTTGGCTTTTGGGCATATCTGTGAGGCACTTTCTAAATGCTGATTGATGTAAGAGAGCCCAGTACACTGTGGGTGACTCTACCTCTAAGAGTTTGGGCCTGGGTTGTAAAAGGAAGACAGCTGAACATGAGCCAAAGTGAGCCACTAAGTAGTCCTGCTCTGTGGTATTTGTTACAGTTTCTGCCTCCAGTTTCCAGCCTTGAGTTCTTGTTTAGGCTTTCCCCAGTGATGAGCAGTAGCCTGTAAGCCAAATAAACCCCCTTTCTCCCCCCAAATTGCTTTTGGTCAGTGTTTTATCACATCAAAAGAAAGCAAAGGAGCACAACAGGCAACAGCATTTCCATGTCTATTGTTATTTTAATAGTGGAGAAAAATCTGGATGTATTTTCTGTCTTCTGAGAATTAAGGGACTTGTCAAGTGCAGAGAGGAATGATTCCATGTGTGTATTCTCAAACACTCTTCCCAACTCTTTCCTTTGAGGGAAACTGCAAAAAAGTGGGTGTATCTCAAAAACCTCAAAAAAGTGGGCAAGCCCTGTCTTTGTTCACCACTATGTTTCCAGTTGCACAGATAAACCCATTCGTTTTTCACTTCAGGGTCTGTTTCAGTTTTTCACTTCAATTTTTTTCCTTCTCAAGTGATTCTATTTTTAATCCTTAAAAAAAAAAGAAAAAGAATAAAGAAAAGGGGGAAGATTAAAGAAGACCTTTCTTTTAGTTCTTAAACTGCCTTTCACACCCACTGAACTTCCACAAAATCCAGTTTGAGTATCGTGGTCATCTGTACACCTTTCTGCTGAAAAGACAGTAAACTGATGGGCAAGCTGACTGGCTGGTGTTCAGTCATTATTTCACTGTCCTTCTAGCTAACAAGTGCCTTTTTCTCGGCTATCTTCTAATCGTTTCCTATGTCACTCACCCTGTAATGACTCAGCTGCCCCAGAGTTTTGTCTTCCTTCTCTTCGCACTCTGTGTGGTGGCCTGAGTGATGACACTCACGCCTGTGGCTTTGCTTCCTCATCATGGGCTGTCGGCTCTGTATTGCCCAGGTTCAAATCTCACTGTAATGCTCAAACCCCGTCTTTATAACTGTTCCATAAACAGTTCTCGTAGCTTGTTATATAGGTTCCCTACATGCTCCCCAGTCTCCTGGTCAGCATCTCAGTATCCACACCTCAGCAGTCTTGTTCTTCTGTCCAGTTGTTCATCTCAGTTAATGCCAGCACCACCCATTCACTCTTGAAAATCGAAATCGAAGTTATCCTAAACCCAGCCCCTCCATGTCTTCTTACATCTAGTCGTGCACTAGCATCCCTAGTTGTTCAGTCTGTAGAACAATTGAGATTTTGGAGTTCTTCTTATTCCTATATTTGTTCTCCCAACCCAGCTCCAGCTCCATTCCTTTTTATGTCCACATTACTTTCTCGACAGTGGAAGAGAGAGCCTCATCTCAAGAGCATCTTCGGCGCTTCCATGAAGTGAAAGGCTCTTTGCACTGAGATCTTGACTCTGCTTCAGCACCAGCTCTATATTCCCTCTGCCATACTCTTTGGTGTCTTTGTCACACTCTCCCACACATCCCTCACCACACTTTGGAAATCACTACTGACAGTGAAATCTTGGGAGGGAATGATGTCACTCATTTGGAGTAGGAGGTGGGACTGACCACAATCCTGTGCCATTTTGTGTCTATAGAAAACAGCTGGCATTTTCTGAACTTGAGCGGGGATGATAGGGAGGCTCAAATGATAGGATAATTGCTATGTAACCATGAGGATCTGAGTTTGAATACACATACTCACATAAAAAGCCAGGCATGGCTATTTGCTCTTGTAATCTCAACACTGGTATGTGGGGGGAGACAGCAGGATCCAAGGATTTTGCTTTTCAGCCAGCCTTGCCAAAGCAGTGAGATTTGGGTTCAATAAGAGACAAGAAACACTGTCTCAAGGGAATAAGGCAGAGAAGACTAGAAAGAGATATCAATTCCTTCACTGGCCTCCATATTGTATGCACACCTCCTAAACACACACACACACACACACACACACACACACACACATACACACACACACACACACATACACACACACACAGAGCAGAATTGTCCTATAGGTACATATGAAAATGTATATAGCAATATGTAAATGTAAATAATTGCTAAGGCTCATAAAGTGGTCTTGATTCAGGTTTTTGCATACTAAAATAATATGGATGAAATGAAATAATTCCACTAAAAGTTTATTTGAAAAAAAACATTTGTCAAGAAGAAGGCAAAGATGAAATTTAAAAACATCTTCACTGCCTTTAAAATAACTCTCTAGTCATCCAAATGCAGACCCTGGGACTGCGCAGACTCTGTGGTCTTTCGACATCCTTTAATGAGAGGAAGCATCTCAAAGCACCCCAGAAGGTCTTCAGAAATTTCCTGCATGCTTCTAGCACTCCCACAGAAGACATAAACACCAGAGGTAAAATGGAATTCAGCGTTCTTTAATTGTTTCCTAACCTCATTTGGTTCATTTCTGTCATTGAACCTCTGGGGCTATTCCAATATAAAAGGTTCTTAACCACTGAAATGGAGCAGTTGATGAAACTGACAAGGAGAAGGAGCAGGAGGATTGCCACTTGCCTAGGGAAGGATAGGAAACTCCTGCCATGCTACTTTTTCCTTTTGAATCTGCAGTCAGGGCATCATCACAGCCCCTAGACCTTGCTTGCCACCTTTCCCTAGACTGCAAGAAGTGCATCTCTGCTAGTCTGAGCCCTGCCATTTCTGAGTTGCCTTGGAGCTATAGGAAAACATCATTAACTCAATCTGTGTTACCCTGAAATTCTCAAAATAAAAATAGTATCTACG